CTCTCTCTCTCTCTCTCTTATGGCGACATTTGCATCTGACAGCTCCTTTGTCCATACATCGGGATTTCTTTTCAATGTATTTGTCCTTCGCGGTGTATCTTCCTATGTTCTTGCGGAAGATTCCTTCTCATTTTGCACATTGCCAGGCTGCTCAGTTGATGCATACATGAAAAAAAAAGAAGTGTGGCAGTGTATATTTCCATGTTCTGGCTGAAGTTTCGTTCTGATTTTTCTCATCCTTCACACACACACACACACAGACCAACATTGCCACGCTTCCTGCCATGTTTAGACAGGACTGGGACGCGGCTTCGCCACACTGGGTCCACTTGTTTTTTTAAACCACCAGTATTTGGCCCAGCTATCGATGCCGAGCCTGAAAACGGGCTGCGCCCGTTTCGCGCCGACCCACCAGCGCAACAAAGAAAACTTGTTTTGGCTGGCGGCGCCAACCTTCGAGGGCCGGTGCCTCGAGCATCCGGAAGTTGCGGGGCATTAACGGCAACGACCTGCGGCCGATGTATGGGCCAAGTACTGGTGCTTTAAAGAAAAATATAGTCTGTTTTCTGCTCATATGGGGAACAGCTGTATCTTTGGTTATCCTATTCTCTTCTCTCAATTTTTCCTGTATTTTCCTCACTCTAGCTACCTCCCCTGTATGCTCGCCATTCCGGCACAGCACCCCCAAGGCAACCGAGCACAGACAAGGGACCAAGAGTCAATGAACCAGTGGAACACAGGACCTTAAATTCACTAGCCAAGCCTAGGCTATTCTAAGGTTATGGGTCTACATGCTCTCTCTGTATCCCAGCCTTACCTAACTCTGCTCTTTGCGGGGAGCAGTACCCTGGCTCCTAACACCTGGCGCTGGCTAGAAGGTTAGAACAGCACCTCCTAACAAACCAGAAGGCCCAAGCCAACTTTCTCCGCTGGTGAACCTGCAGTATGCCCCCAGGAGGTCCCGGGGATTGAATGGACAACGTGGGGAAACGAACCCACGACCTCCTGAATGCCACTTACGTGCTCAACCAACTGAGCTAGCCCATGATGTTCTGTTTTCATTTAAAACAAAAAAGAGAAAGTTATTGCAAGACTGGGGCCAAGGCCTTAGCTTTCTGCCCTTCTACCAGTAAATTTCAATCCTGCCCCACAGATCCGCCTTTTCGTGGGTAAGTCCCTCTGCAAGACTGACATCAGAGCATGACAATATCAAGGTTAGCACCCTCGGCCACATGAGTGCAGAAAACATTCAAAATTACCTACGACCAACCGTCTTCTTCACCTGAATAGAACACACGGTCATTGTAGCTGTATTTTGGTCGACTTTCGAGTCTAGACAGCAAGACCCTGCACTCTGTTCGGGCGAAGACGGTAGTAGGAAAGACATGAATATCTGGCTGAATGGTATATACTTATGTAAGTTGATGAAACTATTTGTAAATGGATCTGCCAGAATCAGATGAATACAATATTCATAAGGGCTACACCCTTTTATTTAGTTTTTTAACTTCACGAAAAAAAGGTCAAAGAGAATGCATAGAAGCCACTGGCAGCAAAATAAATAAATAATTAAAATAAAGAAATAAATAAATAAAATGGCAAGACACTGCGAGAACTCAGACTTCTCAGACTAAACCTCTGCTCTGGTCATTGCATTGTGTGGCATATGAAATGAAACAGGTGTTGAATCTACGCCTTCCGTCCAATGACGAATTTCAGGGGAAGCTACAAGAAATTAAGGATAACGTAAAAGTGCTTCTGGAGACGGTGAGTATCGTCTAAACAGAATCCAAGGGGGGGAGTGACATGCAGTCCGAGGCGAAGCTTGTGCTATGCCCACACTCAGTATTTGTGAATCCGGTCGAAAAAGCTGCCTAGAGTCGTGCTAAATTTACACAAACATAGCACCGCACTCAGATGTGTGAATCTGGTCGAAAACAACAGATTATTTGAACATAGCCCCAGAGAGTCATGCTAAACATAGCGCCAGAGAGGCTTAATTGGAGAACGAAAACAACATGGATATCCTTCTTTAGAATTTTCAGCTCATTTTTCTTTCTCTCTTTCTCTTTATTTGAACGTCAGACCTTCTGAGGCCAAGTTCCATTTGCACGAGTCAAGACTTCTTGAATGAAGATTTACGGAAGTATATCTCTTAATCCGTGCAAGTGGGACCTCACCCCTGGTAAACAAGAACCAGGCCTTCAGGACATCAAAATGGGAATGATACAGAGAAGATTACCATGGTCTCTCTGTGGACAGATGACACAGAAAAATCAAGAAACGGCCCTAATCTCTTAAAGCACCAGTACACCACATATAGGCCTACGGGTGTCAGCATGAAACCCGCTCCACTTCAGAGGCTGCCATTTTTTTTGCGCCTCCGAGTTTTGCTTGTGGCAACAAAACTTTCTGCAAGGCTGGGGCCGTGCACTAGCGGTCTAACAAGAGGGGCAAAAAAATAGGAACCAGGCGCCATTAGTGCTATGTTTGTGCTGAGCGAACCTGACCAGTTTTCTATGTCAAGTTCATGCTTTTAGGGCACTGACATAGTAGCAACAGGGCCTGACCCTAAATGAAACCCAGTGAATGCTGGCATTTGCTTGTGATTTTTTTTTTTTTCACCCTCTCCACTCGAGTTCCTTATCCATCGATGGGCTTTTCTCTCTTCCATCTGCAGAGATGGACAAACGGATGGGTGGAAGGAGGTGTTTGGTCAATCGGGGTGTTGTACGCTATTACCATCTCCCAACACAACACACCCCAATCACGAATGTATACGAAGTTATCTTTCTGGCCCAATACAATCAGAATTAGCATGTGTTGTTTTCAGGGGAAGACGGTAGTCCACGCGCAGCTCGGAGTTCTGCTATGGTGCAAGCCATGTGCTATATGTCTGTAGGATGACAATTTGGCCAAAGCAAAATTTAAGTGCCAAAGAATTGCAATACCCAGGATGATTAAAACTCTAGTTCACACAAGACTAAGTTCACGAAGCGAAGCTAGATTCCAAAGCTTGTGAGACTGCGATTGGACCTTTTCAAAGCGGCCTGCCGCTTTCTCTGCTGGCCCAGGCCCGAATCGAAAAGCTCTTACCACACTTCTTTGGAAGGAGCAAAAGATTGGCATGTTTGAGATGGTCACACAATTTTTTTTTCCCTCCCCTGAGGTGTTCTGGTTTATTCATTAGATGTGTTTCTTGTATGCGTAGTATGTCAGGCCAGTCCCAAATTACGTGCCTTTTTTTATCTGCTGATGCTACCGTCTTCATTCAAAAATACCGCCCGGTCGTTATATTTGAGTGTTCCATGGGCAGAGTGCCTTGAAGAGGTAGTATACATGGGTTTTAAAGGGCGGGGAAGGGGGTACACATGGGTATACATGGGTTTTGAAGAGGGTTGAATGGGGGTTTAACTTCCAAGGGGTATATTACTATATTTTGGCTTTAGTTTTCGTTTTTATTTTTTATTTCCAAGTTTATAAGGGAAGTGACCCTCAGCCAAAAGTTGGTCACATTCCAATACTGGACAACATATTTGTTTTACAGAATTTTTTGATTTCTAGCTTTTTTTCGGGAATTTTGGGGCCTCGCCGAAGTTACCACAAATTTACTGAATATAACGCTCGGCAGGGCGTTATATTCTTACACAACGCCCGGGCGTTATTTTCAGGTGAAGACGGTAGTCCATTGACATTTAGCTACCTGAGGTCCATGTCAGCTCTTTCAAGTAATTTGAACCAGATTTTATATTTTTCAAAGTATGCTTTAACTAGGTCGATTCCCATTTTTTGTTCGTTTTTTTTCTTTATCCTTGCCATCCCTCGGGGCCTCCCCAGTCTACCAGTTCATGGTTGATATTACTTAGGGGTAATGTGGCATACTGCGTAGCCACACGGGCCCTGCAGGGCCCGTCCCGCACTTTCAGCCTAAACGCCTAGGCCACCTTGCTAGCGGCCTCCTACACATCTGGGGAGGATGCGAATGTCGCAAGTCCTCGGTACACTTACGAGGATTATGCTGTCCACTTGGTTCCACCGCTGGACCAACCGCTCCACGTGCAACAATCTACCGCATGCACGGTTTCATCACCATCGGCAACCGATTCGGCAGCTTCGTCATCATCTACCGTCGGGGATTCAACGACGTGGTCAAGTCTTGAAGAACTCGACCCGTTGACTTTTGAGGACTTCCAATGGATGCCCTTGCCCCGGTCCGGTCGCTTGCCGAAACCGCATTGCAACGTGCTCAAGGCACAATTGCGAGATTACTTGCACACTGCAGTACCGACTCCGTTGATGGACGCCGGAGTAGAGGTTGTCGACCTTCACGCCTACATTGCGAAGGTCAACCGCGAGTTCAAGACGCAACGATACGACGACATCGACGCACCATTGCTATATGTACGCATTCAAATTGGAGAGACGACCTGCAGCGCTTTGATTGATTGCGGAGCATCTCGCAACTACATGAGTCAAGACTTCATGGTACGCGGCCTTGGCCCACGAGTCCGAAGGAAGTCCCAGCCCACGCAAGTCACATTGGCGGACGGTCACACGCACAAGTCAATCGACCGGTGCATTGACGACGTCCCAATGTACTTTGCCCCTCACGCAAGTGAGGCGGTGTCCTTTGACATTCTGGACACCAAATTCGACATGATCTTGGGCATGTCATGGCTGCGAAGCGAGGATCACCCGGTGAACTTCTACCGCCGCACCGTTCACATTCGTGATCGGAACGGAGTACTAGTCCCATGCACGGTAGCTCCTCCTCACCCTTCAGTCAGCTGTCACGTGGTATCCGCCGCAAGCATGCGAGCTTCCATCATCAGAGACGACATCGAGGAGATGGGGGGGTGTTTTCTCCACGCCCTCCCGCCCCAAGACGCGCACTCGACGACCTTCTGGAGAAAGGCTGAATTCGGCCTAGCTCATCGCCATACGGTGCTCCTGTTCTCTTCGTCCGGAAGAAGAACAAGGATTTGCGGTTGTGCATCGATTATCGCAAGCTCAACGCGCAGACGATCAGAAACGTCGGCCCTCTCCCACGCATCGACGATCTTCTCGAGCGATTGGGCGGCGCCAAGTTCTTCTCCAAGTTGGACCTCAAGTCGGGATATCACCAACTCGAGATTCGGTAGGAGTATCGGTACAAGACCGCGTTTAAGACGCGATATGGGCATTTCGAATGGCTGGTCATGCCATTTGGCCTTACGAATGCCCCAGCCACTTTCCAAGTGGCTATGACAACGGAGTTCCGACACATGCTGGATCGTTACGTACTTATCTACCTCGACGACATCCTGGTGTACAGCCGGAGTTTGGAGGAGCATGTGGAACACCTGCGCACCGTTTTGGAGCGGCTACGACAAGCCAAGTACAAAGCCAACCGCGACAAGTGCGAATTT